TAGTGGATTCTTATGTTCAAAGCACTAGAATACATAAAGGATCTCCTCTGTCACAAGTCTAATCTGAGATTCTCATTACACTTGGTGACCGCGCCTTTTCTCGTTCCGGTCCATTTTTACGGAACAATTTGCCCTTAGCCATACGATCAAGCTCGTCTTTGGACATTTTTGAAAAACGAGGGAAAACATATCTTTTTAAAAATCCCTTATGTCTGTTTATAATTTTTGTAAATCTTAGTTACATAACCCGTTTATATTTTTGCAATTTTAGCACATTTTATGCTTTTTATAGATCTTTGTTTTACCTTGTTAGTTTTTTTTATATGTAAGGCGCTTCGAATATGTCATAGTATTAGCGCTATATAAATGTATTATTATTATTATTATTATTATTATTATTATTTGTGATATCTACAACGGTTTAAGGCAGTATTTTCGCAAACAGAAAATAAAGTCCCTTCTCATCGAGTGCATGTACGTCTCCCAGCTAAAACGAAAATCAATGAAAACGTGCACTTGCATATGATGTCAGCCTAGGTGAAAAGGACGGACTGAAGTATTTATTGCTCTGATAAATCGTCAAACGTTTGTTCTGGTTTCGTTGTTGGTCTTCTACAGACTACACGTTTAAATATCACCGAATTGACCTGAATCATCCGGAGAAGCCGTGTTCTCAGTTTGGGACATATGCTGCTAAAGGTAGGTAGAGCAAAGCGGTCAGTAAATGCCTTGCAAAATAAAGACCTTCCTCATGATCTGAACCTATCCGATCTGATATGGACTGAACTGAACAAAGAGAAAGCTAAAATCTGCTTTCTACATTTATAGCTTTACCTACATTTGAGGGTTCGAAATCCAGTGGTTAATCACGTGGGCAGCTGGCACGACTCATCAAAAGAAACCAATTTTGTGCGATGAGCATTATGTTGGGTTTCTAAAGATATAACCTTACCATCAGGGATATCTAGAAGACCTGTTCCTCTACGAATCTGGTCCCTAACGAAAGTTCTGCAGGCTGTACAACCCAGCAGCACTCACCTAATGTAGTTATGTAACCTTCACCCTCAAAATTTACTTGCTGCAATAGTACTTGCATCTTGGTTGAGAGAGATGTGTTTGAGAGAAGTATTGAAAGATAGCCGCCCATCCAACCGCCCAATC